GCAATTGAGGCAATGGACCGCGCATTCATTTTACTACATAAAACATTTTGTTACCATAAGCAATTGAAGCTGCTAAGTAAGGGCAGCACAGCTTGAGACTTGCAGGGAAGTCGGGAGCAAGCAAAAGGCAAGGAAACACATCTGGTGGTTGTGTGCTCAGGGGAAAGGGAAAGTTTCTATCTGAACACACAAGCCACCTATTAAGTGATTGACGATCCATTTCAAACACTGATTTACACCCAGTTATAGAAACCATTCAAACCTTGAATGATTTTTAGAAGTGATGGACTCCTGCACTAAGTACCTAAATTGCAATGCACCGATTGACACCCCAATCATATCATTCTGGATTTGCATTTAACGAAATGCGATTGCTAGACTTTTTAAGCGGTCATTTTTAAAAAAAAAACTCTGCAATTCTACTCCGCAAAGTGATGAAGCTTGTCATGTGGCCCAGGTCATAATGGTTGAAAGAGCATTATCCCGCTGGAAATATCTACAGCACAGAGGGAGGTCGTTCAGCCTAATTATGTCTGTTCTGGTGCCAATTCCTCCACTGGTGACTGGTGTTATCTACTGTAATCCTATTCATCGTACCTTTACCTGTATGTAACATAACCGTCCAGAACACTTTTCTTCACGCTTTATTTTAAATAAAACGCTGTTTGTTGTCGACAATGCTTAATGGTATCAAAATGCATCGGAACAGTCAATTAGGAAAAAAACTTCAATGGACAGAGTATATTCTGTGTATTCAGTGTGTATTCATCTGTTTTACAGTGTGTCTTGTGAAGCGCTTTGAGATGTTGCAAATTTAAAGAATTAAAAATTATACCTAGGAGCATGAAATAGGAAGTTGTGGGATTTTTTTTCCCCTTAAAGTGTTATCAGAATGTGAAATGGTTTAGCAGGGTTGGTTGATGGAGGAGAGTGGATTGGGAAGGCTATCAGAGAGAATGGGAAATGAGCAGGGAATTGGGATGAGCATAGATGACTTCATTGCAGGAGTAAACACCAACGGTAATAGGAATGTTATCCTAACGTGTTGTAGATTTCTATGATTCTTTAGTTCGAAGATTGTGTGCCAATTAACTAAATTACTGACAAACAACAAGGAAAATAAACATCTCACATCAAACACTTTCAAAGGAACATTAGCAGTGTTGAGAGCAAACGGAAATATGTATAATTGTGGAATCCTGTAGTGTAGAAGTTAGAGCACTCGCCTCGCAAGCAAATGCTTGGTCACATTTCAAGGACATTTAAGTAGAAAAAGTGCAAAACAACAACAACAAATTACATTTGTATAGCGCCTTTCACGTCAGGAGGAGGTCCCAAAGCCCTGGACGGTCAGGGATCCGCACCTGAAGAAAACCGAAGGCTTTCTTCAAATATTATGTCGATGCTGTTATGGCTGGATTGGAAATTACAATTTTGTTTGAACGTTGGACTACTGGGCATTTGGGTGTTGTTTAAAGAAGAGTAACCAAGTGTGACTCTGCAACTCCAGGCTCTAATGTTAGGAGCGGCTGTCAGAGGGGAACCTGGTTCCTTTAAACTAAAGAAAATTGAAGGGGACCTTGATTGATGCTTTCAAGCTTTGTCAATGGTTTAGATTTCCTGCTCAAAATCCCAAACCCTGTTTGGTTGCATTTGCCCTTTTATGCGTTCAGGGTTGTGGCGTTGCTCACAACGTGGTAGATTTGTCCTGTTTCTGTTTGGTATTCTGAGTAGTGGACTTTGAATTGAGGATTTCCGATGTGATGACCGGTATGATTTTATTGGTTTGAAACAAACTGAAGAGGAAAAACAAGCAGTTTCTGAATGGGCAAAGTGGAAAGTAAACTAAAAGCGATCTGCGCTAAATAGCCTGTGATTTCTGGTTTGGAGACTGGGACACAGGCCAACAAAAAACGGAGCCAATGGTGAGAAGGTGAACACTTTCTACGGTTCCATAATAGGATCATTGTCAGTTGGAAACTTAGTGCCAACAAATGAAAGGTTCACAAAATGAGGCTTTCCTTTTTTATTGAATGTGTGAGGACAAAGGAGCCACAAAGAGTAGGCCTTTATTTGACCCGCAGAAGCTATATTTGTTTCATCTTGTTGTAATGTGTCACCAAAGTGAGACATTTTTGTGGCTTTGGCACATTCATCACGTTTCAGTTTAGGATTAGTTCTCTGCCTCCTCCCTCACTCCAAAAACACACACATACGTACAGGACGCGATGCTGTTAAGGACAAGTGCTGCGTGGGAATGAATCTCTCTCATCGTGCTCTTGCGCCTCGCAACCAAAACTAAACCACAACGGATAGCAGGATTTCAAACTGAAACTATTTCTTCTGTAAAGAAGCGGGTGTGTGGTGTGGCAGTCTGGCTCCGTTGGTAGCATTCTCGCCTCTGAGGCAGAAGGTTGTGGGTTTTGAGCCACGTTTTGAAATTTCGTAGTCTGAACTGACGCTGAAACACAGTGCTGATGGAGGTGTCATCCTTCAATCCTTCATCTTTCCTCTCCACCCATTCTCTTTTTGAACCCCTTCAGTCAGGTTTCCGTGCTGCTCATAGCACAGAAACTGCCCTGGTCAAGGTCACCAATGATATCCTGACTATCTGTGACCAGGGCTCCCTCTGTCTCCTCGTCCTCCTCGACCTATCGGCAGCATTCGATACGGTCGACCACGCTATCCTACTCCACCGCTTGTCCTCCCACCTCAACCTTCAAGGCACTGTCCTTGAATGGTTTAGCTCTTACCTTTCCCACCGTCTTCACTTCGTCTCAACGAATGGCTTCTCCTCCACCCCCCGTACTGTCTCATGTGGTGTCCCTCAGGGCTCTGTCCTCGGTCCCCTCCTCTTCACCCTCTATATGCTCCCCTTGGTGACATCATCCGCAAACATGGGGTTAACTTCCACATGTATGCGGATGACACCCAACTCTACCTTTCCTCCTCTACTCTCAACTCCACGACCACCGATGTCCTGACAGCCTGCCTGTCCGACATCGAGTCCTGGACGAGAGACAACTTTCTTCAGCTCAACGTGCGAAAAACCGAGGCCCTCCTGATTGGCTCACGTCAGCGCCTCCGCACCTCAGGCGCTGACACCATCAGCATCCAAGGCTGCACTCTCCACCTCTCAAAGCCAGTCAGGAACCTCGGCGTTTTGTTCGACCCTGAGCTGTCCTTTCTCCCTCACATCCGCACCACAACTGGCACCGCCTTCCATCACCTCCGGAATATCGCCAGATTACGGCACTACCTCACCCCTCACGCTGCTGAAACCCTGGTTCACGCCTTTGTCACCTCAAGGCTGGACTATGGGAACTCTCTCCTCGCCGGCCTTCCCGGCCCTCCCTCCACAAGCTGCAGGTCATTCAGAACTCTGCAGCTCGTGTACTGTCCCGCACCAGGCTTCGGGACCACATCACTCCTACCCTCGCTCGCCTCCACTGGCTCCCCATCCCCCAGAGGATTGATTTCAAGATCCTCATCCTCACCTACAAGGCCATTCACGGCCTTGCTCCCTCCTACCTCTCCAACCTACTATCCCCCTACCTACCTGCCCGTACCCTCCGTTCCTCTGGCTCCGGTCTGCTCCACGTCCCCCGCCCCAACCGCCCTACTATCGGTGGTCGGGCCTTCAGCCTCTCAGCCCCGAGGCTCTGGAACTCCATCCCCCAGTGCCTTCGCCTTGCTTCCTCCCTTTCCTCCTTCAAGGCCGGTCTCAAAACCTTTCTCTTTGACCGTGCCTTCAGCTCCCCTCTCGACTCTCTTCCTCCTCCTCGCTCCCTCCCTTCCCTCCCCTCACCCTGACCATTTCCCCCTCCTCTCTCCCTCCCTTCCCTCCCCTCACCCTGACCATTTCCCCCCTGCTCGGGTCATGACCCAACTGTGCAGCGCCTTGGGACGTCCTCCTGACGTGAAAGGCGCTCTATAAATGGAATCTTGTTGTTGTTGTTGTTGTTGTTGAGACGTTAAACCAAGGTCCTGACCACCTATTTGTGGGACATTGCTGTGCGCAATTCGGTTGCCATCTTTGCCTACAAATACACAGCGCTTCATCGTACGTCCACTTCCCAGTAAATATATTCCAGAAAACTGCTTTGTCGAAGTGTTTGGGTTAGCTCTAAAGATGTGACTTATGGTAGCCAGCGTAAAAGTCATGATTGATTGAACACGAACCAAGCAACAATTGTGTTGAAAGCCCATCTCCTGCTCGCTGCCGATTTATTATTTCGCCCACAAAATATACAGTCAATTCACTTTACAGTATAGACTGTGAAGCGCTTTGAGACGACTTGAAGACTTGATAAGGCGCTATATCTAATGCAAGGATTATCCTTATTGTGCTTCTTTCACTTGCACCAACGTGTGAGAATAGAACGAAACCTTAAAATGCATTTGGCCTTGGACAGGAGGTGTTTACTATGAGCTCTTGTCGCTTCTGTTGTTTACAGTTAAAGAAGAAAGTATTCACACAAGCACATTGGGCTTCTCCTTGCAGACAAAAGTATTGCATTATTTTAACTTGTAGCACAGTGCTTTGTATAAAGCAAGATTGTGCTCCATAGAACAGACAAACACAGACTGTCTTCGAAATACTTTGCTCCAGTGTACAGCGCTTTGGGCTTGTGGACAATCTGAGTCTCCTGCAGAACTGGAGTAGAACGACCTGATCAATACATGTGCAGGAGGCAGATTGTGTCATCGTTGCTTATGAGTGAGTGGGCTTCGGGATGCTGGCCTGAGTCCTAAAGCACTGTAGATACAGTTATCCATTCATGTTACGCCAGATGTACATAGTATCATCTATCCCCCTTTGGGGAGTGAATAACCTTAAGGTCAACAGAAAATTGTCAATTGATAATTCAGAGGTGATCACAAAAGAAGTGGCAAGTCTGGAAAATAAAAGTCTGGGCAGAGAACATTGAACATTGAAGCTGTGCTGCTTTCTTTCGATGGAATAAACGAATAACATTTCCTCCCATTTTCTTCTACAGACTAAAAGCCAAAAAGATGAGAGATCCCCAAATCAAAATGCTAACGAGGTGCAGGATGAAGTGTTCTCTTGGCCGGGTCCAAAGACCGTCTTACTGCAGAAGAACACGCAGGGTTTTGGGTTCACGCTGAGGCATTTCATCGTTTACCCGCCTGAATCGGCTGTGCATTCCAACCTGAAGGTATGTATCGTTGGCAGCTGTGTTCAAGCTTAAAATGAACGTCAACCTCTGAAATGGCAGGAATGTTTAAGTAATAATGTTCAGGCATATAGTGTGTGTGTATATTATATACATATTCTATAAATATATGTTTGCAGTGTGGAATTGAAAATAAGCCTTCTAGGTTAATGTTATCCCTCAGTCTTGATCCTCAGTTTCCCTGATACAGCTCACCTCTGAAGGCATTTCCTTCATGTAATATCAGGCACAACATATGCACACAAAGAATACTGGCCACAGTGCCAACTGATCTTTCATCTGGTCTATAGTTACAATGCTGGCATCTGTCTCTTGCAACATTTTCCCATTACAGTATAAAGTGGTTTCTTAAATGAGACTAGCAGCTTACCCACCCTCTCCCACCCTTTCTGGTAACCCATACCAGTTGTGAGAGGAACCAGTATTCACTGCGTGAACATGTGCCCTTTTGTCCTGTTACCCTGATCTACCTGAAGACGTGATACTTTTCAGGATGTAGAACCTCGTTTGTCTAATTCCTTATGAGTTTCTCATCCTCATCCTCCACTCTACGTTACTCGCTGACACTCTTCCCTGCTGGGCTGGGTAACACTGTCACATTGCTGGAACCCAGGACAGATTGAGTCCTCATGCATTTAGTTGTGAGCAATATGGGTTGTCTCTGCCAAATATAGATTTATTCACTTCTCAGATAGTCACAAGCTCACTCCTTTTACTGAAGTATCAGTAAGACAAGTTAGCCTAGAAACTAGACTTTTATTATTGTGGACACAAAAGCTTTTTGTAGATGTTGGAAGCACAATTTTTCAGATCTCTGTGTGCAATCTAGACTCTAAACACGAGTAAAATGTGTAATCTGAGTTAAAATGTCACTTTGCAGGAATTCACAGATAATTATTCAGTGAACAGGAATCGATCTAATGCAAATCAAGCAGTTGATGGCATTAAAATTTCAATTCCTATTCTTTTGTCGGTTTCTCAGACATCCTGTAAACGTCGTAGAGTTGACTAGTATAAAGGTATTAACATCACTGAAAATATTTATGAAATTATATTTGACTAAATAAACAAAAGGAGCTGTTTGACAATTGCCAAAAAGATACAGACGGATGGTATTGATCTTTTTCTTCTCAACTGCCTTTGTTCATTAAGGGACATACAAGATTATCCAAAGTGTAAACCTCTTATAATTGCCCCGTGAGGATTTCAATGGATTTGAAACAAAGAAATGTGATGGACAAACAGCTGCTTCTTACTAATAATAAGGCTATCTAGTTGAACATTTAGAGCTAAGGTTAACCTCAAGGACATCGCACATCAGGCCACTGCGCTCTTTAAACACGCGCTTTAGTTTCTGGAAAGTTAAAGAAAAATAAAATGCGCAGCAGCTAGATTTATTTAAATCACAGGATACAAACAACACAGATGTTTTGAATTAATTGCAGGTAGGACTCCATCTGCATTGTTTCCTGAGTAAGCTAGTTAGCGATTTGGGTAGCACGGAAAAACTAACGGCCACGTGAAGCCCTGGAACAACATTGTCCTGTTGATAAAAGGCAAAGTACTGCAGATGCTGGAAATCTGAAATAAAAACGGAAGTGGCTGGGAACACGCAGCAGGTCAGGCAGCATCTATGGAGAGAGGAAAATGAATTAACGTTTCAGGCCGATGACCTGATGCAAGCAATGGCGTCAGTCCAACATCAACGCCACAATCAAAACAGAAGGTTTGCTGGAAACGCACAGCGTTGGACTGAGACCATTGCTTGCATCAGCCTTTTGCCGTTCCTTATTAAACATTGTAGAAGAGATGGGATGCTGAATTCTCATTCAAAGTCAATGTTTGCACAGATACTGAAACTACTGTCTCTGGTATCTAAATAGTTTTAAAGAGAGTAAAGAGGATTTTTTTTTTGAAAAAACACTCCACACAAACATAACCCTCCAAAACCAAAACCCCCCCAAAAATAATAAATTGGTCATTTTCAATCTACGACTGTTTGTGGGACATTGCTGTGCGCAATTGGCTGCCGCGTCCGCCCACAAATACACAGTCAATTCACTTTACAGTGTGTTCTCCCGACGTGAAAAGCGATATATCAAATGCAAGGATTATTCTTATTATTATAAAAAGTAAATATTTTTACATTTGCATCTGACTAAATTTGCATCAGATATTAATTTTAGATGAGGAATAATTGATCAGGTAGTGGGTGATCACAAGACAGAAATCTGATTGAGGGATTTAGGTGACATCTATCGACCTGTTGCAGTGTATTGTTGGGTATGTTTGTGGTGCAGAAGATGTATTAGCTTCAGATCCTTTTGCCTTTTTGTTATTAAAATTACAAGGTATCTCCAGATTCCAACGTGAAGTAAAGTGACATCCTTGGGTAATTCTTTGTAATAATAGTCCTTATATTTGTTATTGTGCCTTTCGTGTTGGGATCGCGTCTCAAAGCGCTTCACAGGATATACTGTAAAGTGCAGTGACTGTGTTTTGTGGAGCGCACGGCAGCCAGTTTTACCCACAGCAATGTCCCGTAAATAGACATGAAGTGAATGACCAATTTTATTCTTTCTTTGGATCCACAATTAACAGATATAAATTGGAATTTAAGTTATAAAAGAGCATTTATATCTACCCACAACAATCCATTCTGAACTTCCAAATGTAACAGACAACTTGGAACTTGTGAAGTCTGTCAATAAATACTCATCTAGCGTTTGCCTGTTTAATTAGTGACCTTCCTATCCTTGTGTAGTTTAATACTCACAGATGTTGGGCAGTGCATCTGTTCAAATATTTACCTAACTCTTTCTCTCCCCCCCCCCCCCCCACCCCCTGCCCCGCCAAGTTGTCCAGGACACCGGGTGAAACTCTTTTCACTTTTCGAATATTGCAATGGTATCTTTAACGTCCACCTGGACAGACAGATGTTTGCTCAGTTTAACATGTCATCCGAAGAGTAGCACCCCCCGAAAATGCAGCCCCACCCAGCCCTGCACTGGAGCATCAGCACGGACTGTATGGTTCCAAATCCTGACTTCCTAATTGACTTGAACCCACAACCTTGTGACTTAGAAGCCACAGTGCAACCAGCTGAGTCCACGAGTAGGTGGCATACATATGATGAAATCTATTTGGATTGGATGCTCTTAATCCAGGACGTCCTCCCAACATGAATCTAATATGCAAATGTAATTTTATTGTTGTTAAGCACGGCGATGAGATTCTGCAGATGTTTACCAAAACAATCTTAGCTCTTTATATTACCAAAAAAAAAGCTTAATACAGTATATATAGCTTAACAGCCTCACACATTGTGAGAGGATTCTAGTATATATTTGAAGGAAGTCCAAGTATGCCATAGTGCCTTGCAGGGATCCCTGGAGAAATGCTGTTTATATTACGGACACATTAGCTGGCAACCAGGCAGTGGTGATGTTGCTATTGGGCTCTTTAGATGTCAATGTCCTATCTACAAAAGCTAATAATAATAATAATAATAATCCTTGCATTTGATATAGCGCTTTTCACGTCGGGAGGACGTCCCAAAGCGCTTCACAGAACACACTGTAAAGTGAATTGACTGTATATTTGTGGGCGAACGCGGCAGCCAATTGCGCACAGCAATGTCCCACAAACAGTCGTAGATTGAAAATGACCAATTTATTATCGGTCTTGGCAGCCCCAATGTCGTAGTGGATCGAGCTGTGGCTTGCAGACCAGGAGCTCGCTGGTTTGAATCCCCGGCCCATGCAAGAGTTTGCTGGTCTCAACCACGCATGAGGAAGCCTCTGCGTTGGTTCCAGCTTTCTTCCCAGGTTCAGGTAAGGGCGGAAAAAAACACAGCCAAAGTTCCCCTCCAGTGCCCTCTATTGGTTGTGTGAGTGTACGGAAGAGGTCAGGCTCGGCTGCGATGCCCTCTATAGGCGAGCGGCTGGTTAACACTCCTGGTCAAGGCTCGCACATAAATAATGGCCGTTTGGGCAGTGTGCCAGAGGGAACGTGACGCCCGTAGAATCTCCCAGCAATAGAAGGGCACACCAGGGCCAGAGAGGCGTACGCCAGTGGATTCACTAAATTTAAAAGTACAAATTGCCATCTCACTAGAACCAATGGAAACCACCCCCACCCCAGGTTCAACCGAGACCACATCCACTTCGTTAGGTGGACGTCAAAGATCCCATTCCATTATTTGAAAAGACAAAAAAGAGAATGGAGTTTCTCCCGTTGTCCTGACAATTCCCCCAAAATAAATTTGTTCATTCGCCTGTTGTTGCCAGCGCCTTGGGATGTCCTCCTGACATGAAAGGCGCTATACAAACGTAATTTGTTGTTGAAACACTGCTTTGTGCAAATTAGCTTCCATGGTCACCTCCAAAATATAGTCATAGCCCTTAACTTCTGTGAAGCATTTACAGATGTTAGATGCAATAGGGCGGGCACTAAATTAAATGCAAGGCTTATTATTGTTTTGGATGAAATCTTAATTGAAAAACTGCCGGAATTCCCTCGCTCTAGTCCAGGTACACAACAGACAACAGGAGAGTCTTCATCGCTAACCCTTTTAAGATCAGATAACTGCACAAATAAGAGTCTGAATGTTGGATCTTCCTCGCTGCTATATGACTCAGAGGCATATCAGATAGTGCTTTTACTGACCCAGCAACCAAGGACCCCATAATAGTTGAGCAGTTTAGTGTAAGGTTGGGATCTTTGCCTGAATTGTGCAGTGGTAGGACAACAGGTACAGAGCTCATACAGTGAATGGCTGTCTAGAAACACCTAGAGTTTAGGAAATGCTTTTTTCTCACCTATCTTAGTCTCGTTGGAGAGAGTTATATCTGTGTTATATTTGTCTTTTTGGAAAAGAGATACCCGTATTACAATCGATCATATCATGTTTGTTCAAGAACCACACAGTGATACTCTGACTCTCTCTCACCAGCATCTCTCAGTTTCACCTACAGTTGCAG